AGCTCCCGAGGTAAAGGTACCACAGCCAGACCAGCGACAGGCTGATTGCAAAAGCTATTCCGGCAGGGGAGGTGAGCAATCAGAGCTCCAGTACCTCGCTTCCTACTAAATCCTCCAACTACTCTGTTACACAAAAGATCAGCAGTATAATGAAATTTCTAAGCATCTTTCCAAAGATAAGAATCATTTGCATTCATGAACATGTGAACAGGGGCCTAAGAGCAGTCAGTGGTGCTGTATCTGAACTCCAGTTTTACAGAGGTGCTTATCTTGGAATATAAATCATGCATATAGTTTTAAAAGAAATTCTGATACCAACCTCTCTTTGACATTTGCCTGCTCAGCATACTGCCTATTGTAAAACCCACCGTATGTGGTAAACAAAACTGGTACCTATGATCAGCACTGTTTAGTTTCACTGCTGGTCTCTAATTTTTAATACTAGTTTAGTCATCACTCTAAATCATGGTGCTAACTCCCTTTTTGAATCTGGCCCTTAAAAACATATACAGATCTTCGTCGTCACTCTTTCGCTTCGGTTCACTTTTCTAAAGTTGTTATAAACTGTCCACCCCCGTCCTTAGGTACTACAACACTGAAGTGGTTCACATACGTTTCACGGACTGAACTCCTACAGAGCTCCATAAACACCAAGAATCCTGAAAAACACCACTACACAAACCTTGCAAATAAAAGTCAGTCACCGAGAATTAGAGGAGACAAAAATTTCGGTCTTACATCAAGCTGAGGCTCAGTTCCCAGATTTCAAAAATAAAAATCCTCTCTGTTATGAAGATGTGTAGCAAATACAATGGAAACAGGCAGCACGTACACATTCCCCACCACCATCCCCTAGGAAATGAGTAATCCCAAATTCAGTGCATGACTGGGATTCTGCACAGAGAATAAGATGGGATGCTATACACAGAGCAATGGGCATTAATAGTGAAAATAGAAAGCTGCTTTTCAATGGCCAGTATTAATCTTGTACACCAAATAAGGCAGGGATCCAGCTGAAAATCAGAAAGCAACAACATAATAAAAGACTGCAACATGCACTTGTTCAAGGAACTGAATTGAGATTTTGATACTGACTACCTCAGGGAAAGCTTAAATTCTACTATTTGTTAAGTATTGATTTTGCAAATTAAAATTAACATTAAAATAGCTTTTCATATTACAGTGTATATAGTTTGTTAAATATTGTATTTTGGAAGGAGTATCCTATTTACTAAAGGTATACATTAAGCAAATGTATCAAGCATTGCATATAAAAGCCAAGATGAGAACTGCAAAGTTTAGTTACTATGTAAATTCTAATGCATTAATTTTTCAATCCATTTAAAGGCTCAAAGTATTTTTGAAAGTAAGCATCAGTAAACATAATTCTGAAAGATCTTGCTGTCACATTGCTTTTAAATATAAAATGCATTTTCTCAGTGCTATTTACTATCAAGAAAACAGGCCTCCTAGTGGGAGCTACTGGACAATCAGCACACTTGAAAAACAAGTATTTATGTATGAACGTAGGATGTCTAATTGTGGGCTTAGTTTTACAGTCATCTCAGATATCATTTACACAGATTTCTGGAATCAAATGTACACCATAAACTTAATAAATTCAAAAGCAAGCTAAAGAAATGTCTATTATGTGAGCCTTCTGTGTATTTCATAACAAAATCAGATTTTGTTTAAAATGTCCACAATATGGGGAGGAGAGTCAAACGCTTCCCTTTTGTGTCACCTGCTGTTTCTTTAAAAGCTGTCCTGCAGTTACAAAAAGCTACTACTTAAAAAGAGTAGGAGGCGAAACGTTCTCTTCTATTACCAATCCTTTTAAGACAACTTTAACTGTTGGAAATATTGGCCAAGAGCCTACCCCCAGCTGCTAAAAAAGATGTGAAAACCCAGCATATTTAAAAGCTCTTTAAAGTAGCGATGATGAAATTGCCCACATCTGGGGAAAAAATTAACACAGATCCTCAATTCAAACAACACATTTCACTAATAAAACAGAGTGTAACATCAATATTTATCACAGTACTTTAGGTGAGTTGAGCTGTCGCTTTCTCATGTGATTAGGAGGAATGTGTGGCATGTTCTAGGTGCTGCAGGTGCAGAGGATTTATTTACAAGACAATGCTAGTGAAACTATAATGCTGTGTAAAGAATAAAGAAAGTCTACATGGATATTTCCACGTTCTTAAAGGACAGAAGAGTGACTGTTACTATTAAACAACTGGTACTGTTTCTTCCTTTGCTGGAACAAAAATAAAAAACAGATACAAAAGAAGGGCAAGTATCTCTGAAGGCAGTTCAATGATACAGCTACTGTGTAACCTTTAAAAATCCAAATTGCAAGGACATAATTCATGCCAGTTTTCTGGCATTATTAGTTAAAAAGCTTTAATTACAAATATCACGTTTATCAAGTATTTAACGAAATTCTGAGCTGTGTATTCAATATCTTTACCTCAGACAAAATCACATGAAGTAATGCAGAATCATGGAACACTTGAGGTTGGAAGGGACCTCTGGAGATCATCTAGTACAACCCCCCTGCTCATGCAGGGTCCTCCAGAGCACATTGCCCAGCACCGTGGCCAGATGGCTTTTGAGTATCTCCAAGGGTGGAGACTCCACCACCTCTCCGGGCAACCTCTGCCAATGCTCAGCCACACTCACTGTCAAGGCGAGTCTCAGGTTCAGACAAAACCTCTTGTGTTCCAGCTTGTGCCCGTTGCCTCTCGTCCTGTCACTGGGCACCACGGAGAGGAGGCTGGCCCCATCCTCCCTTCACACCCTCATTGATCACATCCTCCCTCGGACTTCTCTTCTCCAGGATCAACAGGCCCAGCTCTCGCAGCCTCTCCTCATATCAGAGACGCTCCAGGCCCTTCACCATCTTGGTAGCCCTCCGCTGGACTCGCTCCAGGAGCTCCATGTCTCTCTTGTCCTGGGGAGCCCAGCACTGGACACAGTACTCCAGGGGAGGCCTCCCCAGGCTGAGAACAAGGGCAGGATCACCTCCCTCCTCCACCTGCTGGCAACACTCTGCCTAACGCACCCCAGCATACCATTGGCCGCCTTGGCCACAAGGGCACACTGCTGGCTCATGCTCAACTTGTTGTGCACCAGCACTCCCAGGGCCTTCTCTCCAGAGCTGCTTTCCAGTACGTCAACCCCCAGCCTGTACTGCTGCAGGGGGTTATTCCTGCCTAGGTGCAGGACTCTTGCACTTGCCTTCGTTGAATTTCATTAGGTTCCCCTCTGCCCACCTCTCCAGCCTGTCCAGGTCCCTCTGAATGGCAGCACAGCCCTCTGCTGGATCAACCACTCCTCCCAGTTTAGTATCATCGGCAAACTTGCTGAGGGTGCACTCTGTCCCTTCCTCCAGGTCACTGACGAGCAAGTTAAACAATACTGGACCCAGTACGGGCCCCTGGGGGACACCGCTAGTTACTGGCCTCCAACTAGACTTTGTGCCACTGATCACAACGCTGTGAGCTCTGCCATTCATTTCCACCTAAGTATTCCAGGGGGCCTTCTGGAAAGAAGACGGTAAGAAGTGGACTAAACTCATTATTCCTGAGTAGCATGCTATTGCCATCCACCCTTGTCTCCAGAGGTCACTTTGGAACTGAAAAGAATTTGACTGTGTTCATGCACTGTTTCAGTGTATGCCCATTAAAGCCCTTCTGGGTATACACGAGTCTAGCATGACTCAGATTAACTATGCCATGCAAGCAGAAAGGATGCTGTTAAAGGTTAGGTTTAAAGTCCATGGTACATAAACCATTTTGGAAAAAAGCTTAACCTACCTGGTCAACCCATGTAAAATAATAAAAAATAGTAAAAACAAAAAAACAACAGAAAGCTATGCAACACTAGGGAAAGAAAAGAATTGTTTTTTTCTTAATCATACAGGAAAAGCATTTAAGGAATTTCTGTTCCAAATACATGCATCAGACTCTTCTCTACTAAAGACATCAACAATACAGAATTCTTCAGTCACTTATGAAATATTGCTCATTCCAGGCACCGCAATACATTTTAGAAACATACTTTTGGAATAAATGCAAGACTGGTTGACAGAGGAAACAATTTGCTCTATAGGTTATTCAGCAGTATCACGGAGCAGTGTCTTGCAAAAGAGGGCTTCCAGTCAAGGATACAGCCCTTTACACAGTGAGAAAGAAAATACGTTAGAGCATGTTGAAGAAGTAGACCAGAACTGGTTTTGACATGAGAAGCACCTGAGATGGGCATTCAAAGCTAAGACGCTTATTGAATAAATTGGAAACCTATAAAACTAGACCTCTTCACCTTTGTAATCACCACAGAAAGCAGCAGCTGTTCAAAGAGATTGACTGCAACTAGTTAGAACTATTACAAAAAAATTCCTTATCAATAAATTAAATTTTGACTGTTTACAGTAACTAAGAAACAGCAAATTTTCCTCTCACAGCAATCATCTCTTTATGAAGGCAGGGAATTCAGCTCTAAGGAAGTAAAGCAACAATAATGCCAAACCCCATTTCACTCTCTCAAGACCCAAAGAGTTCTAAAAGGGGAAAAGTGAAGGGAAAAAAAGAGTGCAGATGAGAAAGAGAAACGCCTGAGAGAAACGCCTAAGAGTTTTCCTGCATAGAAGCATGCAGAGAGCACCCAGGAAAAAAGACTTCCTGTTCTTTTTTTGTTTTTTTTAAATCAATTACTAAAAGTTCAAACAAAAGCCTCATAACACTGACTGAAAGATACACAATTTTGAGGTATCACATCCTAGACTACGGCTATGGTAATGTGATTCATTCAGTGACACAGTCACAAATCACATCAGTATCACAGAAAACCAAGACCATATACATGAACTCTATTATTATTCTAGCCAACTGCATTTGAAAGACACCATCTATATCTCCAAATATTACCACATGATTCCAAACATTATGGTGATGACATGAAATTTAGACAAATATACTATATTGTTTATTACTTACCAGCTCAGTGTGAACTTTAAGATGTGCCTGGAGTTTATATTTATCTGGAGTGGAGTAGTCACAGTGTTCTGTGGGACATTTCAGCAAAATATTACTGTGTTTTTGAATGACGTGACGCTTAAGGCAGTTTTTGGTGATTGATGAGTAATTGCACTGGGAGCAGTAATACAAATGTTCTCGAGTGTGCGTACGCACATGCATGTCATAATGCACTTGGTACCAAAACAACTTGCCTAAACATGAAATCAGACATGAAAACAAGTCAATTCTAGAGATCTGTTTAAAAAATGACATAACAAAAATTCTAATGCATACTCAGTTTTCTTTGAGGGCATATCACAGTCTTTGAATCCTGTCCCTTTTGTGTTTAATGAAAACTTGTCCTAAAGACCCTTCACTAATGAAAATATGTTTAGAGAAAAAACAAAAAAACCACTTCAGTCTAAAAAGATTGCATCGTATGTCCTGAAGCAGCCTGATGGCACCTTTAATGTAGGACGCAGCACAAATTTGTTCCTAATAAGGAAGTTCTTTAAAGCTATTCTCCTATACAAAGGATCTGAATGCAACGGTACACTAAGAGATTGTCAGAAAATTCTTTTTTTGTCACTTCCTTTCTTTTTTTGTCCTTCCTTTCTTGTCGTCTTGTCTCCTAAAAGCTGTTCTAAACATAAGAGCACTAAAAAGTGCATAGAAATTAATCTAACACATGACTGCAATGCTATCATGTTTTAAATTTTGTGTTTTTTGTCAAACTCTGATTCCAGTGTCTTTTCAAGAACGAACACTGCAAAGTAAACCCAAAACTGTTCCATTTCAAGTTATGCATGCACAAAAAGTTTCAGTTAGAACACATGGGAAAGGTGTATTCTTTCCATTTTCCTACGTTCAAAAAAAAAAAAAAAAGAAATCGGAATACTTTTGATCTGACACTATGCAATGAAATTTTCTATCTCGCAGAAACTCATTCAAAATAAGTCATGAAAATATGCCACTATATGTACGTAATGCACAGACTATACAGTATTTATACACCCTTACATGCTATATAAAAAAGTCAGACTCCTTCATTTTATATCAAGCCAATATGAAGCTTAAACACTGAAAGCATGGACTGACGAATGCTGATCATGGATGCTCATGTCTGCTCTGCTTGGCTCCAGTTAAAATTATGAGTTGGGCAGAGGCAGGCTGACAGAAAGCAGCTGATTTTCTGTGTTTAGCCGAACATTTCATCAAATTTCAGGTCAACAGAAAATTGAGCCTCACAAAACTCCCCTAGCACTTTCTTCAGGAGGTTTGAGCTCCTGTTTATACAGTTTATACAGCCCAAAGTAAATGTAGCTGGGCCCCAGAATCCACCCTGAGCTACAAAATTCCTACTACAAGTATATACAAATGTATAAAAAACGATAAAGGAGAGCATGAAAAAGATAGATCACTACATAGCATTTTGAAAAAATAACAAATATCATTCCTTACCACAATATTCACATTCCAAGTCTCCATAAACCTTCCTTATCCTCTCACACAACTCTGTGTTCATTTGTCTCTTCTGTAAGTTGTCCAAGATCTGCATAAAGGCAACAGCTCCACTTCGATTATCAGTTGTAACTGCATTAGAAGAATCTGCCTGTGAACTGCTGGCTGCATTAGAATCTGCTGCTGGCAAAGGATTAGAGACTTCTGTTGAATTTTGATCAGATGATTTACTTGCTTCTGATTCATTAGAAGCAACAGATTGATCTTTCTCTTCAGAAAGGTTCTCAGTCATTGTGTTGTTCTGATTTTGATTTAAACTTTTGTCTTCTGGCAACAGAAGCTGGATTTCCTCACCCTGGATATTTACAGAACTGCAATGATTAACAACTTCCTCATTTCCAGGAGAAACCTTTAACTCATCAGGAGCAGTAGTGCCATTTTTCATCATAAAGCAATCTGACGCTACACAGGACTGAATGTTTGGGGTTGCTATTTCTGTTGATGCCTGGCACAGTGGCTCTGTTGCATTCTCCACCAGAGGATTTTCAAATTCTAAGGAAGAGACTGTACTGACTTTTAAGTCACCATTATGCTGACCATTACAGTTTACCTCTGCAGCCTTTGATTCACCTTTACAAGCAGATGGCTTTGGCATGTTAACAGCATCAGCACTCACGGCAGTTAATTCATCTGCACTTTGTGCTAGCTGTTCACCGAGTGCTTCTGGCTGGATATCACCTCCTGGCTCAAGCAGGCAGAAACTCTGATTGATAGAGCTGTTAAAAACAGAAGTCTCTGGCAAATCCGTGTGCACATCTTTGATGTGAGCACGGAGTCTTACAGAACTGACAAATTTCTTCAGGCAGACAGAACATACATATACAAAAGGGTGTTTTCGAACATGAAGCTCAAGAGCTTGGTATTTAGTGGCTCCATGACCACAGAGCTCACATGCAAAGGGCCTTTCATCACCATGAACAAGCATATGACGATCTCGATCCAGTTCATTTTTGAACTTCCGTTCACAAATATGGCAGTCATAAAGAAGTTGTCTTTTGCCCTCTCGTGTCATCAGGCGAAGTTCGTCAAAAACATCTTTCACTTTTTTATCTTGAAGATCATGGGTTTCCTTGATATGCTTGATTAAATTTTTAACATCCGAGTACTTTTTTTTGCAGAAGCGACAATGCTGCTTAATTTTCTTGTGAACTCTTTCAATGTGGACTTTGAGATGGCCTTTGCTGAGGCAAGTGAAGGTACAATAATCACAGCTGAACTTCTCCCCTGTATGTTTCCGCATGTGAACATTAAGGTTGGCTTTGATTGCACTGGCATAATTACAGTATGAACACTTGTAAGGCTTTTCATTTGTATGAATCCTCAAGTGTGCTTGGAGGGAGTGTTTAAATTTGAACACCTTGTTACAGTATTCACACGTAAAAATCTTCAGCTGAGTTGGACCTAACCTAAAAAGAAACCAAAACAGTTACATTTACAACACTGATACAAAATATAGCAGAAGTTTCCTGGACGTTCATGATGGACACAAGTGTGTGTTTGTTTATTTTAAAAAGATGTTCACCACAGGCTTTTTGAATTCTGCAACTGATGAATGGATTATTTTTGGCTGTCCCTTTATTTAAACAAATAGGAGAGTATTTCACTGCTGTGAAAATGGAGAGGGAAGCATTTCATTCATATTCTGCATGACCATAAATATAAGTACTTCAAAACTACCTGCTTGATTTCATTGCCTGTTCATATGGGGTTTGCTGAATGGCATATTCTTGATACCCTCTTCGTTGTGATGGGTCTTGAACGGCTGTCTCTGGAGTGGTGGGTTCACTTTCTTGGGGAGTAGCCTCAACTGGGACAATTTTTGTGGCTCCTAGAAGCAAGGACAAAAAAAGTTCATTAAAAGTGGCATATTAAAATATATGTTGTCTATAATATACAAGTGTAAACAAAACATTAACTCTGTAATCATTAGCTCATCTATTTTACTTTCTGTTGTTCAATTCACTTGCACAAAATGACACATACACTTCCGTCAGACATACAGTACTTATACTGTATCTTGTATTACTTGTATCTTCATAAAGCTTTAACTTTTCAAAATGAAATTTTAGTTTTTCTGTTTCTGCCTCAAACAACATCTTCTGGAAAATCTTAGTCAGGCTGTTTAATCAGTTCCAACAATAAGACTGGAGAAAAAAAGCCTACATTTAAGAAGTCTGGAAATCTTTTCCTTGATCAAATATTTCACTTATACTTCAGGGCATGCTGCCATCATCCCCTCTGAACAAATGAGTACGCTCCAAGTGCACCCTTCAGAATAAAGCACATCTGGAGATGTGATTAACTACATGGGTGTTATCTTCTATACAGTTGGCGAGCAACATTCAAGTCCGATCTGCAGAAATGCCAGGCATCCAGTTACTACTGAAGCTAATGAAAATTCATTTAAATGTTAACTTACATCAAAAAATCTTGAAAATCTCAAGTATTTTGAAACAAGCATCTATTATTAATTGATCTTCCTCCTTTTTAATTTCTTAGTCCACCTGTAACTCATCTAGCTATATGTTAAATGGAAATGCCATTATCTTCATAAGTTTATAGATATATATCTCATATATATATGATTTTATATATATATATATATGTATGTATGTATGTATGTATATTTAAAATCAAATCCATTGGAAACCTTTCCCTAAAAGTTTTTAGCCTGCAGAAACTAGCAAGAGAAACAGAACAAAGAGGTAGGTAAAGCATATGGGAAAAATCAGCAGATAAAGTGGAAGGTAACCACCAACATATGTGAAGTACTTAGTGGCATCAAGTTGAGGAGAGGAGTGGCACTGAAATGTCATGGGAGAAAGATGGACATCCTATGGGTCTCAGAGTGATTTAACGTGGAAACTGGAACACTTTGTGAAGACGTGTGTTGGGAATACATAAGGGTATCTGATGTTTTTGGATCAGATGGGACATCAGATAACTCTGAAAGAAAACAGATTGTGTTAGTTCTTCTGTGTACACCCAGCTTAGAACCAGCTGGGTGTAAAAATGGTTTTCTTGATTACTGTTTTCTAATAATGCTATCAGTACTGTACGAAATATTCTGAGAATTGATCAGAACTGAACTTCCAGATTTTCAGAAGAAGTGTTCCCAGGGCATTTTAACTAGTCTTCTTACCACTACAGCTCCCTTCTGCCCCAGAAGACCAGGTTATTCAGTGGGACTGCACCTCCCAAACTGTACTGTAGTAGCCCAGTAAGGGGGGCTCATCTTTACAGTACAGAAGATGTGATTCAATCAGTGGGATCAGCGTAAGGAAGAAAACATTTATCAGAGCCATTACTGAGAATCATTATTAGGTACCAGAGCAGTGTTTCCATGCTTAAACATTTTAAAAATAGAAGCAAAGCATTTTTATTTATAACCACTCAATTAAAAGAAAATAGATCTTGAACTGATATGCATGCATGGCTACCTCTCTCAAGCTTACCATTTCCTGAATACAAGACAAAGATCTTCATTAAATGTTCTGCACTGAACCTCCTCCATGCCTTTCTGCCTTTCAGGATGTTTAAGGACTTCCTGAACAGTCTCTTCAATTCCTTAATATTCTTCTGTACCTGTGTAAAACCTGGCCTGTCTAATTCAGGTGATTAGCATAAGTATTGCCTCATCAGTATTTCAGATACCTGGCGTGGAAGGAGAGCTGCAGGTTACCCTAGCACTACTACCTAAATTCCCTATGCAATCAATAGAGAGACAAATACCTCTAAAAACTTAAAGAGAAAGGTCCAGTTCTTCTAACATACAGATCATGTGTTTGCATGCAGTAGGCAATCCAGTCCACCCACGTTAGATGGTCACTTCCTACCCTGGGAAGACAGGGAAGCATTAAGAAATGTTGCCTCCCTCCACTTGGGATGCTGTCCAAGAATGGGCTCCTAAGTGACCAGCAGCCAGTAATCACTGCTGTATCATAATCTAATGACTCAAACACTTGCCCAGGAAGTAAGAAACTTTTAAAAAAAAAAAAAAAAAAAAACGCTCTACACAGCCTAATAGATAGTAAACTCACCTGCCCCACATCCCAAAATAATACCCTCAACATTTCTGTCTCTAAAAGCAGACATTAGCAGATGCCTATGCAAATATGTAAGAACAAGGTAAACAGATACTAAGTCTTATTTTCCATTAAAAACATCATATCCCAATAAGGAAGATAAAGTTTGCCTGACTTTCCCTCTAGAAAATCATTGCAAGAAGTTAGAGTATATCAATACTAAGGGGGGAGGGGGGGTGAATCATCCCCCCCAAACCTCTCTCCTCTAGCTGAGTTATATCTTTATTTTAGACTCAGAATGGACTTTATTTTACTAGATTCTGTCTTTTAATTTTGACTGAAGAGAAGAAAACATCAACTCCAAGCAAATCTGATTTAAGGGTAACAAGATCTGAGTTCCTCTTGATACTCTGATTGCAGCTTCTATCACCCAGTGTGCTTCATCTCCAGTTGAAACTTGGCAAAGGCCTCTAATTTCTTACTACCTATCCTTTAGAAAATTAAATTGGCCATCTCTATAGAACTCTCCAAAAACAAAGCTCATCAATAGTCAAAAAGCTAAATAGAATGGAAGGAATTATTAGGAAAGGATCAGAAACAGGGAGATATCGTTAGGCCAACATCCAATTTCCATGAACCTCCTACAACTTAGAGAGTACAGACAAAAGGATATAGAAAAAGAACTAGAAAAGGGTAACAAAAATAAAAAAAAAGAAGTATTTCCCTTGGAAAAGAGACAAACAAGCTCAGGTCTTTCAGTTATGGAACAAACATAACTGCAAGATAAAAATGACAAAGACCTCTAAAATTAGAAATACCATAAATGAAGACTGAATAATCATTCTCTATCTCATAAACCATGAACAAGCGGGTAGAAGGCTTAAAAAGAAATAGAAGAATATATATTTTCACTCAGTGCATAATTAAATTATGGAGTAATTACTGTAGGATGTTACAGAGACTGAAAATATGAATGCATTCAGGAAGAGATCAGACAAATTAATACATACGTATTAAATAAGATGATCCAGATGCTACCACCAGCTCAATGGTTCTCAAAAGCTGGGAAGCTTTATATAATAAGTTTCCATTTTTTTCACACAGAGATTTAAGGCTTGGTCTATATAAATTAAATAATTTGTTAAGGGTATGAACTGAATATCTGTTTCTTACAATTTCTTTTTGGACACATTTATTTTTTCAGCTTCTATGTTATCTTATGTAATGTGCTCCAAATGTATGCAACTCTTGCCAAGACATTCTGCAACCGAAACCAACAGAAACTAATCCTACCATAACCCCTTCCTGCGCAAACCTAACATTCTCTTCCCAAAAAATCTTCAACAACAACAACTTTCAATTTGCTTTCAGCTTACTTCACCATGAGATAAAATACATTTTAACTTAGACAAACAGAAACACAGATCTGGATATGATGGGATCAAGACTGCTGCCCTTTTCAACATAGCTGGTCATTAGATTGGCTCAGCTAAATCAAACTGTGTCCTATTAGGGAAAGCTAATCTATACAAATACTTGCTCACAGTCTGAGGTGAGAACTTAAATTGTCTTAACCTTGCTTATGATGCAATTCCACAGCAGCTTTAAATCAACAAGTTAGTTTCTTTCTCTAGCCCTCCTCCCAGCTACATGGTCTTGACATCTTGGCACCAGCACGAGAGTTTATGCAGACGCAGAAGATCAGAGAAGGGATTGGGTTAAGATCTAAACCTTCTCATTCATTTTCTCATATGATTTACCCCCAAAATGCACAAATATGTATGATGGTCCAAGAGATAGGAATTTGCAGCCAGACAGTGTGAAGAGAGGACAGTACTGCCCCTGTGATAGCAGTCTGTACTTTGCTGGGCATAGTGACTTAAGTCACTGACTCAGCTACTTTAGAAGGGGGCAGCCCCAATCCTCCTACTTTCCCCAGCAAGACCTACACTGTCACCACCTTCCCTTCTCCCATCTGCGCGTGGCCCCCATGTGAAGTGGTTCAGTGAGCAAAACTTGTTGGGGGGCGGGAGGCAGGAGAGGAAGTTCCCTGATAGAGAAAATGAATATATTTATGTATGCATTTATTTTTACCAGATTTAGCTTTTCAATTGGTTTACCTCTGGATGAGGCAAGTACTTGGGCTGGCACAAGGAAGGGTAAAGTGAACTGGGAAGTAAAAGAGGCAAACTGGGAAGTAAAAGAGGCAAACAGAAAAGCTCATTTGGAAACAGTCTGATATTAAAAACATTTAGATATCACAAACCCAGAACAATACGTCTCAGAGATACAAAAAGAGTCGTCATCTACAGAAAGGACAGTTATATCAGTCTAATAAGAAGAGTTTTGTTGTCACTTGGGTTCAAAATATTACACAAAACAACATTCTCCTGCTCCTTTCCTGCTTCCTGAAATCTTTATGGGAGGAAGATCCAAGCATTCATAAGCTTGCAACGCAAGGAGTAGTAGAAGGAAAAGGCGGTTGGCCTTTTATGGATCTCCTCAGCAGAAACTGAGCAGAGAAAAACATGCGCATCCTTACATTGAGATTTCACAGGAGAAATAAATACAAACACTTTAAGAAACAAGGTTCTAGTGAGCCAAAGTTTCACAGACTTGGTAAAGAGAAAAAATAACTAGCATCAGGTTATTAGGTACTTCAAGTTATTTTTGTATGTTTAAGGCTCCACCAAAAGCCAAAAATTCTACCATTTTCCATCTTCTCAGGAGCGTAGGACAAATCTCCTAGTAAATACATACAAGACAAATTTTTAAAATACTACAGGACAAAATAATAAATTAAATGTTAAAAGTAGAATCTCTCCTAAATCATATTAACTGAGTGTGAATAATAAGCGTGGTTTTTAGAAGCCTTCATAACACCACAGAACTTCAATATAGGAAACAAAATACATACAAAACCAGAAGATTGCGCATCTGGCACTGAGTTTACCTATTAGTCCTTAAAAGCAGGTTACAAACAAGAGTATCTGTCATTCAAAGTCAGTATTTTTAGATGCACATACAATTGTACTTAATTCACTTGAGATGTTAACAACAAACTGTACTCCATTTAATCAGATGCAAGGAGTATCTCTCTTTTTAAGGGCTGAGGGTCTCTCCAGCTATGCCTAAAGGTAGTTCAGTGCCTGCAGAGAAAAGCTGCTACCACTTTATTTAGACTGTGCTTATTCTGTGGCTAACGCAAGCTTTCAAATTTGTAAAACTGTAAATAAATTACCTTACATATGCTCCCACCAAAACACTCTAGAAAAGGAAGCTGGAGTGAAATCAGTCTTGTCTGACACTCCTTTCTGAGAATTAAGAAACTTACTGATATGTTTCTTCAAAGGGATTTTGAAGAGACAGATTTAGTCATCATCTACTGCATGCATGATGTAAAACAGTCTCCCAATCCTAAGTAATGCACAGTAAAATTATAGCAAGCAGTTAATATAATACCCCTGAAAGCACCTTGCATAAAAGAAAGGAAATATACTGTCTTAGCATGATTATTTCCTCTATAAAATCCAACATATTCTTAATGGCTTCTCTATTCTTCTAATTGATAGAACACTTTTATGACATCTTCAACAAGATTTTATTGCACTATATACTAACAGTGGTTTTTATACACATGTTTAAGTTTAGAAAACAGGCGACGAGAATACTAATGCTCGCAAAAAGATAATTAATTGAAGGAGGTTACAGAAAAAAGATGAATCTGCAGCTGTCTGAAGGCCCTCTCATTTACTTAATTGAGGATTATTGTTCTTATCATATATATATTCTAGCTGATAATTTCAAGTTAAAAGTCATTGCTGTCAAAGACAGCTAAATTTATTAATAATAATAAATAAATAATTATTCATTTTATTAAAGCCTTTTGTATGTAACATATGTTATCCACAAATATCTTTGAAGTTGAAGCAGGTTGTTTTAATGTTTCAAGTCATTCAAAAAGCATATATATAAAGAAGTTGCTGTTGTCTGAAGAAAAGTGTTTACTAGATAGTAACTAAAGCAGTAGTTATTTCTTTTTTTTCTTCATTTCCTCTCCCTCATCACACACTTACTATTTTTTCTTCACTATCTCAATTTAGTAATATTTTGCTCATCTCTAGGCTGGTTTCCTATGAAAACGAGGCTCTGATTCTTCTGTCTACTATACGTTTCCCTCTTGAAAACTGTTCTGGTCTTTGACAGAAAGGCAGAGATTTCAAAGAAAAAAAAAATCTTGCAACCTTCCTAAGATTTCTAAGATTCAGATGCACCTGGATAGAGGAAACCTAAATTACAGCTCTACCAAAATCCCTGAGGAAGGGCAAACGTACAAGCCCATTAAGTAATACCCATATAAGACCCTTAACCAGCCATCACGTTTTGCCTTTTACCCACAGAAGTGTGGAGGATACTGGAGGGATGCTCAGGTATGGCAGTGCAACGGGGGCAGAACGGGAGGAGAAGATGAATGTAGGCGGAAAGGGGGAAAAGAGCCGGGAGACACAGCAGAGAAAACAAGTGTTTTGCAACAGCTACAAAAGAGCCCAGAGTGACAGTCATACAAGAGAAATGAGCATGCAGCTGGCAAGATGAAGCAGCACAGAGCACAAATTGCTTTGATGCCAAGTTTCAGCAGTTTCGATACAGCTCACAAGTGACAGTAAAAGTTTTCTTTTTCACTTCCCTCTCCCACCTTCCCCCATATTTACAATATTGCAAGACCAACTTTTTAACAGCTCAGGATTTAAAGTCCAAAATCTTATATTATGTTTCTCAAATAATGAATCTGAAGTTGTCTTTTACTTCTCTTCTAAGCATACAGGATATATTTAGTTCCGTTCATCCAGTTTCCTCTACTACCTTCACAAGTAGGAATGTGTTTTAAAAAAAATGAAGTCCAACTGTATCACAGATCTCAGTATCAAATGATATTGAAGAACACCACAGTAAACCCAGCCAACAATAAGACAACAAATACAGTCTAGTTAGGCTGCAATTTGTAAGGAAAACAACCATTCACAAATGCTAAAAACAACTATTCACAAATGCTAGCAATAACGAAGAGGAGAATGGTAAAGGCTACAAAGCTGAAAAAGATGCAAGATACCATTAAAAGGGGATTTTTGTCAGCCAGGTAAGAGATTGTTTTATAAAAACAGGCAAATACAGGCTTAGTTTTAAAAACAGTAGTTTGAAGTTAACCTGAAATCCTCTGATGAACAGATACGAGAGAAGTTTATAAATGAAGAATCTTTTAATCATTAAATAGAAACGTTAATTGATTTTCAAAAATATATTTTAAATACTTAGCTTGTATGACCAAGCATTGTGTCTAACTAGTATCCTAGTAGTTTGACAGAGAACAGCAGTACTAATACACTACCACACAAACTATACTAAGCTCTTTGTGTTTTCATAACCAGATTTACACTTATGCTAATGATAAATAGATCAAGATCTGAAATCAACAACGATATCAGGGTGGAAAAATACTTTCCTATTCCTTGGTCACTGATATTTTCAGTTTCTTCTTTAAAATCATTCACGGACTAAATATAACTGATGCTAATGAAGATTAATACACTCAGGTCCACATTGTCCTTTCCAAGCCTTTTGTCACACCTATGAAAAAATGTAATGGTAGTTCTACAATGACGCATAGCTGCCAAATGCAGAGATTCTATATAATGATCACCAAATTAAACCAAATATTTTATTTTTCAGATAATAACTGTCTTAAGCAGTTGTTAGTCTTAGGATAGTGACACTTTAAGTAGTGTTAGCATGAACAAAAAACAATTTCCTTACAAAATGGATGATTCTGGTTACCTGGAATAGCTTCATGGGCTGTCAAAACCACACTTATAATAGGATTTTTAGCTCCTGAAACCTGTTCAGCCTCCTTAGTTGAAAGGGTTTTCTCTGCTTTCTGAACTCTGGGCCTCTTTGGAGGTTTTTCTCGCTCGTCTTCCTTCCTGTCAAGGTCAACGTCAGAATCATTACCTAAAGAGCAAACATCAGAAAGAACATAACTATGTACAAAGGAAATGCAGGTAACAGTTGCTAACAGCACAGAAAGAATTAAGAGATAATTAACACTACTATAGAGAAAATTACTTGTTATTAAAAAAAAAAAAAAGTAGTGCTGCATGACTCCCTGAGGCAACTACTTTTTGTTTCCTCTCATTCATAGACCTAGTATGAGACTTACACAAATACAGAAAAGATATGACATATGGAAATATTAAAAATAAAATCCTGGTTTCTCAGAAACACTTATGTTCCTAAATCATTCTTAAAACCCACGGAAATTTTGTACAGTTTCTCATGATTTCACCATTCAGGAACAAATTATGTTTCTCTTTTCCATAAGTAACTGTTCTGATGACCTTAGGATTATTTCCCCAAGTAGCTGATTCATTATCTGTCTTATTTAATAGAAAGTCCTCCAACAGTCTCTCTGAATTACTGTTTTTTCCCCCATTGTTTTTCTGAATCAATAGTCAAAAATATATATTTTCAGTGTGGATTCAAGAAAAATCAAGGTTCAAAACAGTTCTGTGTTTCAATCCAAATCCGGACACGTAACACTGCCTTCTGAAGCCCTGCACTTCTAAATCATCCCCTATCTTCTCCCGACCAGAACATCTTCATCCTCTTAAAGGAGGCAGCTTTGGTATCACAGACACAAGACCTGGTAACTAGAAAGCACCAGAACAGTTGAACTCCAAACACTTATCTGACGCAAGAAATGAATAATCAATAATCAGCTAAGTTGTTCTTTGAAGTTATTTTTTCCTTAAAGCAAATGAGGAATTCATTGCTGATATTCTAAAAATAATTTTATAGAAAAAGAATTAGCAGAATGAAAATAACAACTCAGCAGGTTGCAAGCTTATACTAAAGAATTTCTTTACATTACATTAAGGGGTAGAAAAGACAGGCTAGAGAAAACTCTCTTAGCAAATAAAGGCATTAAGCAAATGTTCCAGAGGTAATGAGCAAGGAAAGGAAAATCTGATTTAAAAAAGAAAGTTATAAATGAACTAAATGAATTTCAGAATTTTTTTCTGAATCTGAAGCAGCTAACAGCCTCCACAGTAAGTCATTTAATGTATATTCATGAAGTGCTATAGCTGCTCTACTGAGATAGGGAAACAATATATAAATATAAAACAGCAGCAGCAAAACTGTAGTGCGTGAGGAGTTGTTTATGAAATACAAATAGCGAAAGCAGTGGCAAGATATGCTACATGTAAAAGGTGCTATTTTGATTTCAGTAATATTTTGTTAATATTTAGCTGAGAGTCAAAAAAGTCCGTCTGACATGATCTTACCTTAATGGAATGACAATTTAAAGAGAGCTGAGAATTCCTTAAAAAAAATAAATAAAAAATAAAAAAAAAAAGAAAGAAAAAAGGGCACAAACACAAGCTAGTAGCACAGTTAGGTCAGAAAACTCAACAAGCACTTGGCTAGATCAAAAGCCAAGATTCAAAACATTAGACTCAAAAACAACAAAAAAACATACGTGTGTAGGAACTAGGTTAGATTTCTAAGGATGAAATATAAAAGAATAGAACAAACATATAGTGGTAAGATCAGAAGCGCCAAGGCACAAAGTAAGGAATGCAAGGGACAACAAAAATCATCCTATAATATAGTTACATTAATAGTAAAAGAAAGACCAAAGAAAGTGTTAGCTCTCCATTAGAGAATAAAAGCTATCAAAGCAGAGAAGAGTAATGTGCTCAAATACTTTTAGTGAAGACTGATGCAAAAAACACACCATATGCAACCAGGTAGTCAACTGCTTACAATGACCCAAAAAAAAAGGATAATTTAGCAAAAGGAAAAAAAAAAAAAGTTTACCTTTTTTCTATGCTAGATCTGTCAATGAGAAATAAAATTTCACTGCATTCCCTACAGAAAATGCAGACATCCTTAATCTCACAAGTATAACCAGTACAATTTTTCCTTTTATTCAATATCTAATCTCCTTTTAGGTGTGTCTTCAATCTGCGACATCCAAACCTGTACAATGAGAGGGGGAAACTTAAAAGTTCAGGTGGAGATGTAATCCATAAGGCCAGTACAAATAGACACTGGAGGCAGAACGGCACCAACCAAATTGCTGCTTGTCTTTCCAGAGTACTTTCAGAAATGGAGACAGGAAAGAAACGTATGTGTTTGGTACTTTACTCATGAGTAATATGTAGTCAACAAGAAACCCAGGACCATGCCAGACTTGGGACAAAAAGTACACCATTTGCTGACAGAGTTCAAGATGAAGGAGCCATCCAGAGATCAATTCCCAATCAAAAAAAATGGCTCTGAAAAGCTTGAGTACCTCACTAGTGACTTTTTCACCCGGTAACAGTATCTGCCAAGGTTTTCAAGTCTTCAAGGATTTCCCTTGATCAGATGCCAGTAGCAGTTTCAAAGACTGACTCCTTCCTGACAGAGAAAAACAACTGTGTACTCTTCCTGTTATTTAATCAATTCTGATGGTGTGATTTATTAGCATGCTAAAATTATGTGACTACGTAATACATGGATGAATGCTCAGCCACGCATGCCTTAAAACCTGTATCTCCAAGCACGTTAGTCTTGGAGAAGCATCTAATCTGTTTCCTGTCATCTTCCAGATGACTTTTCTTCAGGCAAGAAAGGAGAGTTCTTCAAAAGCAGATCTTGAATGAAGATAAAAAAAAAAAAAAATTAACACACTTTCACTCAGATGTAGATATCACTAGGCTCAAAACGTACCTTAAGGAATCATATGTGGTGTAAGGCATAAGTTTTTATTGTCACCGAACATAATTAGACACATCTTCAACACAAAAGAATAGGACACAATTCTAGATTCACCAAGAAGTCTTAAGTGCTTAAAATGTTTGAGGAAGGCAAATCCTGAGGGCCACTGATTCCAGAATGGCTCCTACTCCCAATCTACACTGGAAAGAAGCGAGACATCTAATACATGTAATATCACTGGGTATTTAATTATATTCACAGAATGGTCAAGGTTGGAAGGGACCTCTGGAGATCATCTAGTACAACCCCCCTGCTCATGCAGGGTCCTCCAGAGCACATTGCCCAGCACCGTGGCCAGATGGCTTTTGAGTATCTCCAAGGGTGGAGACTCCACCACCTCTCCGGGCAACCTCTGCCAATGCTCAGCCACACTCACTGTCAAGGCGAGTCTCAGGTTCAGACAAAACCTCTTGTGTTCCAGCTTGTGCCCGTTGCCTCTCGTCCTGTCACTGGGCACCACGGAGAGGAGGCTGGCCCCATCCTCCCTTCACACCCTCATTGATCACATCCTCCCTCGGACTTCTCTTCTCCAGGATCAACAGGCCCAGCTCTCGCAGTCTTTCTTCAGAGGAGAGGTGCTCCAGCCCTCTAATCATCTTTGGAGCCCTCCGCTGGACTCGCTCCAGGAGCTCCATGTCTCTCTTGTCCTGGGGAGCCCAGCACTGGACACAGTACTCCAGGGGAGGCCTCCCCAGGCTGAGAACAAGGGCAGGATCACCTCCCTCCTCCACCTGCTGGCAACACTCTGCCTAACGCACCCCAGCATACCATTGGCCGCCTTGGCCACAAGGGCACACTGCTGGCTCATGCTCAACTTGTTGTGCACCAGCACTCCCAGGGCCTTCTCTCCAGAGCTGCTTTCCAGTACGTCAACCCCCAGCCTGTACTGGTGCAGGGGGTTATTCCTGCCTAGGTGCAGGACTCTTGCACTTGCCTTCGTTGAATTTCATTAGGTTCCCCTCTGCCCACCTCTCCAGCCTGTCCAGGTCCCTCTGAATGGCAGCACAGCCCTCTGCTGGATCAACCACTCCTCCCAGTTTAGTATCATCGGCAAACTTGCTGAGGGTGCACTCTGTCCCTTCCTCCAGGTCACTGACGAGCAAGTTAAACAATACTGGACCCAGTACGGGCCCCTGGGGGACACCGCTAGTTACTGGCCTCCAACTAGACTTCATCTGCTCATCCAGCCTACGCTTCCTGAGCTTGCCTATGAGGAGGTGATGGGAGACAGTGTGGAAAAGTTCACTGAAGTCCAGGTAGAGAACATCCACTGCTCTCCCCTTGTCTACTCAGCCAGTCATTCCATCATAGAGGGCTATTAGGTTGGTTAAGCACATTTCCCCCCTTGGTGAATTCATGTTGACTACTCCTGATCACATTCTTGTCCTCCACGTGCTTAGAGATGACCTCCAGGATGAGTTGTTCCATCACCTTTCCAGGGACTGAGGTGAGGCTGACTGGCCTGAAGTTCCCTGGATCCTCCTCCTTGCCCTTTTTGAAGAATGGAGTGACGCTGGCTTTCTTCCAGTCCTCAGGCATCTCTCCTTTCTTCATGTCCTTAAGATCTCAATGTACTTCCAACTTTAACAATTGCAAGCATCTCAATAAATTTTATCCTATCACTGATGGGTAAGTAGATCAGTGTCAAAAGAGCCTCAGAAACGGATAGCAAAGAATCCTGAGGAGGGATGACTAGAATAAGTGCAAAAAGGTTAACTGGATTATTTTCCGCTGAACAAACAGGAGCATCTAGGAAGGTATACTAAATCTGGGTCTAGTGGCTGAGGACAAGCTCTAACATTTAAGTCTAATGACATCTTCAATTGCTTGGAATTCCAAGTCTCAGAGAATGATCTGCCTCCAAAAGCATAAGATCTGGACACTGGCCACAGAGAGGCATGGGGGGAGGTGATGTTGAAATGAACCTATTTTTAGGATAACTTTTCTGAACAAGAAGGGTGGAGGAAATTACTAGTCAAGTTTTTGGCAGAAGTAGTACGTCTGACAGTATAGTTTGTCAACTCTTGCATAGCTTACTATGCAACGGGCGGTCTTTGCACAACCCTCCAGCTGCCACAAACTGCATTCAAGAAAGCACAAAGGTCAATGCCTGAGCACAAAACATAGCAAGGCTCAATGCTGAAACTCCCAAACCACTGCCTCTAAGTTTTTATTTCCTTCCTTTA